CAAAACAAAAGCAAAAACACGTACAGGGATTGAAAAGGGGTTGGAGGAAGCAAAATGCTTATATTAATCCAACCCCCCTCACCCAGACTCACAGGACAATCAATAAGACGGAAACAATACCATGCTGGGTAAAAACACATAATACAAATGTTTACTGTACAGTACATACAGTAAGAACAATACAACATCTACCACCAATGGTATGGGACAAGACAACTCACTCACACGCACACACACTCACACACACAGGCCCAAACCCTCCCTCCCTGACCATACACCTCTCTCCTCCAACTGCTCAGTGCTGAGGGCATCAATCTCTTTCCTCCTTGTACTTCTTCATTATTTCTTTTTTATAAACTCTTTTAAATTGAATCAGGTTTGGACACGTTTTAATTTCATCAGATAGACTGTTCCACAGAGTAACTCCACACACGGAGATACACATTGATTTTAAAGTCGTTCTAAATTTAGGTAAGTATAGTTGTTTGTTTCCTCTTAGTTGATACTGATGGTGAGCATCTCTATCATGGAATAGTGTTTGCAAACTCTGTGGGAGGGAGTTTTGCGATGCCCTAAACATTATTTGAGCAGTTTTAAATTGAATCAAGTCTAGAAGTTTGAGTTGTCCCAAGTCTAAAAATAATGGGTGTGAATGATATCTATAGTGAACATTTGATACAATCCTAATAGCCTTCTTTTGCAAAGTGACTAAAGGCTGTAAGTGAGACTTGTAACAGTTTCCCCAAACTTCAATACAATAAAATAAATATGACATAATGAATGAATGATACAACAGGAGTAGGGCATTTGTGTTCAAGTAACGGACTCGCTCGCTTCATCATTCCGACACATTTAGCAACCTTTGTTCTCAGGTAACTTATGTGGGGTTTCCAATTGGTTTTTTCATCTATTATAACTCCTAAGAAGGCATTTTGTTTGACTTTCTCAATTGGTGTATCATCAATTATTATTCTGACTGGAATATTACTATTACGGTTGCCAAAGAGCATAATTTTGGTCTTTTTTAAATTTAGTGATAATTTATTACTATTGAACCATGTTTTTACTTTGTTCAATTCCACAGTTACTGTAGACAAAAGTTGCTCCAAATCGTCACCTGGACATATAATAGTTGTGTCATCAGCAAAGAGAATGAATTTCATCAACTTTGATATTTTGCATATTTCATTAATGTACAATATAAATAAAGTGGGTCGCAATATTGAACCTTGTGGTACTCCACAGGTCATGTTCCTATAAATCGATTTGTGTTGGTCGATCTGGACAATCTGCTGTCTCTCTCTCAGGTAGCTCTGCAACCATTTATTTGCCAATCCCCTGATACCATAGGCCTCCAGTTTGTTAATCAAGATATCATGATCGATGGTATCGAACGTCTTTTGAAGATCAATGAAAATTCCGATTACAAATTAATTTTTTTCAATTCCATTTGTTATTTCCTCAACTAAGTCAATAAGAGCAAGTGATGTAGATCTATTTTGCCTAAACCCATACTGACTATCAGACAATAAATTATGTCTTTCAATAAACCCACGGAGTCTTGTATCAAATAATTTTTCTAATATTTTGGAAAACTGAGGCAGAAGGGAGATTGGCCGATAATTGGTGAAGCTGTGTTTGTCTCCGGATTTGAATATGGGGATTACTTTTGCAGTTTTCATTTGTGATGGAAAGTCACCAAGCTGGAAAGATAAGTTACAAATGTGTGTAAATGGTTCACCAATTTCTTCAGCAACACTGCGTACTGTTTTCATGTCAATGTCGTTTATGTCTTGTGATGTTTTGTTTTTGCATTTTCTGATCAAATTCAGAACTTCCTTCTCGTTTGTGGGTGTGAGGAACATGGAGTTAAAGTTTGTTTCAATGAGCCCCTTTGACTGTTCGTTGGTAGAAGGGATTTTTTTGGCCAGTTCTGGTCCAACATTAACAAAGAAGTTATTAAAACCATCAGCAATCATTGTTTTGTCCCTTATAATTGTATCGTTCTCCACAAAGTACTCTGGATAACTAGGGCTGCTAGAACCACGACCAATAATGGTGTTCAACACTTTCCAAATTCCTTTAATATCATTCTTCTTTTTAATTAATAAATCATTATAATATTCTGTTCTACTTACTCTCAATATGCTGGTTAATTTGTTTTTGTATTGTTTATACCTTTGTTCAGTCTCTATAGTTCTGTGTCTAAGGAATAGTCTGTACAGGTAATTTTTCTTTTTACAAGAGTTGGCAAGCCCTTTTGATATCCAGGGAGTTTTTGTGTAGCGACTTGTTGTGCACTTTTTGGTTGGACAGTATTTGTCGTACAGTGTAGCAAACATTTCCAGAAACAAGTTGTAAGCTGTATTTACATCAGACATTTGGTAAATGGGTTCCCAGTTCTGACTGGCCAAATCAATTTTCAGATCTATTATTGATTGTTGTGATATGATTCTACAATAGCTGTCACTTTTAACATGTTTAGGTATTTTACAGTCGATGTCATAAACCATGAAGACTGGTAGGTGGTCACTGACATCACTAACCAGCAAACCACTAGTAAGACTGGCGTCTAAAATGTTGCAAAAAATGTTATCAATAAGGGTAGCACTGTGTGTTGTGACTCTAGTGGGTCTGGTGATCAGCGAGTACAAGCCCATGGAAAACATTGTGTCTATGAATTCATCTGTATGTTTATTTTTTAGGGGATTTAATAGATTAATATTAAAGTCACCACATATGATATATTTTTTATTTTTATTACTAAATATTTTTTCCATCCATTCCCTGAAAGCCTTCAGGTCAGATCCTGGTGTCCTGTAAACACAACTTACAATAACGTGTTTCTTTTTTGGCAGAGCCAATTCAATAGTAATGCATTCAAAAAGGTGGTCCACTGCTAAAGACATATTTTCTACAATGCTACAAGTAATATTTGTGTCTATATATAAAGCCACTCCTCCTCCTCTTTTATGTTGTCGGTTTGTGCAGAACATTTCATACCCTTCCAATTCAAAGTGGCTACCTTTGTCCACATCCATCCATGTCTCCGAAATTGCTATAATATTAAACGGTGATTTAAACTGACTCAAGTAGTCTCGGATCCCTTCAAAGTTAGAATATAAACTTCTACTGTTAAAATGCACTAGAGAGATATTTTTATCTTGTGTAAATTTGTCTTCAAATGCAACATCAGTATAATATAAGCAGTCATTATTCATATTAGGAAGGAAATTACTATCTGGGTCAATTTCGATCATGTTTTGTGATTTATATTTTATACTTTCTGAGAAATTGATCATAGTTTCTAAATTATGAGAGTTCATGCTCAAGTCATCCTCCTCAGTTTCAGACGAGGCATTGCTCTCAGAACTATACATCTATTATCATTTCAGAAACATGAATGGATGGAGAGGGTGTATGGTCAGAGAGTCTAGGCCCCAGACACGCGCAACAGACAACCACACCGCAACATTCAAACAAGCACATACACAAGCTCTCACTCATACAGACGCACACACACACAAAAACACACTCACACGCTGCAGGCAATGAAATAGAAATAAACATGAGAAAAACGAAAAATCATAACCTTTACCCCCTCAGAATCATGCCCCAAAGAAAAAGAATAAAAATATATATGAAGAACTAAGTTCTACCCTTGCACATCAACATTTACTTGTGTTACCTGAACACGGGCCTGCCTACATACAGGCATATATTTTATAAATAATATTTGCAAAAAACACCAATACAAAAAGGGGCGTGGATTTACAGGAGCAAACCTATTTTTTTTGCAGTCAGAAAAAAGAAAAAGAAAAGAGAAAGGACTGCTTGTACGCGACCTAGTGACGTCATCGCGCTTGTATGTAAACATGATAGAGTCAAATGAAGGAACCTTACCGATCAGAGCGGTCTCTATTTGGACTTGGAAGTTTCGTAGTCCGAGAGAAACTTTTCAGCAGCGGCCGGGTTTTCAAAAACGATCCGAAAAGCAGAGAAACTTCACTATCATTACTCTGGGCTTGGGTGAGGAAGGTCGCCATGTTCCGATCCTATGGGCTCTCATTAACTCCAGTGAACTCTCCGCTAACCCAGGGAACCACTTTGGAAGTGATGCAGTGAGGTAAGCCACAGCATTGTTCTTTTCCTCGCCTTCTTTGATATTCACAATACGCAAGTTATCGCGTCTGCTGCGGTCCTCCAGCGAGACGAGTTTGCTCTCCAATTGTGACAATGCGTCGCCAAATCCAGAAAGGGTGTCCTCGTTTTTGTTGACACGGGTCTGCATGGCGGAAATATATATATATATGTGCATGCTTGTTTAAAGTCTCTTGTATTGTGGTGAGCTGGTGCTCTAAACGCTGGAAGTGTTCTTTCGATTGTTCCTGAGCTTTGGTAAAAAACTTATTGAGGGTAGCTTCCAGGTGCTCCGCCGTGAGCTGGCTCGAGGACATTTCTTCTTCCATTTGGCTCTGTCCTCGGTGTTTTGTCTTTGAACGTGTACCAGACATGCAGACAACGATAATATGCAACTTTAGATATATTGCTGGCCGTTTGCAGAGGTTTGCTTTCAAAGGTTTGCTCGATCAATGAACAGGGAGTGTTAGGCAAACAGACCTCACTCCGCCATCTCCGCCATTTCTTTTTGAAAATGTCACAACATCTTTGCCAGCAATTACATTTGCTAAACATTCCTCTTGCTCCTTCTTCAATTTCTTCATATTTGGAGCCAAACCAGAACAGATTACTTTACTATCGCATTCGCCGCCATTGCCAAAGTACAACCATCAAATTTGATACAAACTCTTGACATCACAACACCTACCCACAACACCCGGGGTAACCGCAGCCACTGAGACCAGACCCAGACGTACATGTAGGGAAATGATAATTGACCGGAGTTTACAGATGGCAAAGGCTTGACTAGTATGAACTGTGCTATACAATTAAACTGTCCTTGCCTTGGATCACTCACAGTTCTCTCCCTCCTCTCCAGGATGATCCAGGTGGAGCGTGAGTCTGCGGACCTGGACTCTCGCGTCAACAGCAGCAGCATGGACGGTCTGAACGTGACCCTACGGCCTCGCGCCCTTCCCACCTCTGCCACCGCACAGTCCCTGGCTTCCTCCACCTCCCCCCCAACCAGCGGACACTCCACCCCCAAGCACCACGCCCGCAACACGGCCCACCACCTCGGGATCATGACACTGGTACAGCCTCTGAAAGAGATGCATGTGTTTAATAGAAATTCTGGTTGTGCGAAAAGAAAAAAAATCATAAAAAATCTACAATATCTAGGAGTACTAACCCTAAACTACACTATTAGTGACAGAGAATACGTTTTAGTCTGGTATTAGAAATGTGTTTTTCATACAAAGGACTAATGTGCTGTAATTGAGCGGACATTTTTAAGTAGATGTTGTGTTGTTGTATTTTTTAGCCGAGTGACTTGAGAAAACATCGCAGGAAAGTGTCCGTGAGTATCCAAACCTGAGACCACCGTTATAACTATAGTTCTTTTCTAAAATATAATGTCTTTCTCACTCTTTCTCGTCTCCTCTGTGGGCGATCAGTCCCCGGTGGAAGTGGACAAAGCAACGATCAAATGTGAAACGTCGCCGCCTTCGTCTCCTCGAAGTTTGCGGCTCGAGACGAACTTTGCTCAGTTCACGGGGAGTCTGGAGGACGGACGCGGGTGAGTGCACCGGCTTCGACTTTATGACACGGAGGAGGAGCTGCACACAGGGTTCAAGTCAGTTTTAGTTCAGTTTAATCTTGTATAGCCCTAGATAACAACAGTTGTTAACCCAGAGGACTTTACAATTGATAATATAGATCCCGGACTCATTCAGTAGAACGAGGACCCAGACCACGCGATGCAGGTCTGAGGTGGCTCCCAGGAAAGGAGGGGGGGGTTCAGCCCAGGAGGCCAGGTTCAGGGGTCCCTCGGCCTGGATCTGCACAGTCAGCATGGGAACTGTGTAATAGGACTGGACTGACAGAGTGTGATGTCACCATTGTGTTAGCCTTAATGTGGAAGAGGATGATTTGAACATAAGCTAGCTGGAGCTGATTTCTTTATATTGGCCTTTTTCTTATGGATGGCTTAGCTTCATGCCCGGGCCAGGGTAATAAGGGCAGACGTGCGGCTAAAGTAGTTGCTAAAGTAAATTGGAGCTCAATGTTTTTTTCAATGTAAGTCAATGGGAGCTAGTCCAAAACATCACCATGAGCTCATCCCTTCATTGGCTTCATTGAGTTAGCGGGTTAGCATTGTCCATCTGTACACAGGCTACAGAGAAAAGTCATGAAAAAATATATAGATCAAATTTTCATGACCGAAAATGTATTTTGAAATTAGAGGTGCATTCCTCAACTGCTTTTTGTGAAGTGGTCGAGATCTGCCTCTTGTGTCAAAGGACAAAGCTCTGTATTTCAGCGCTCAGTCTGTGTCTGGGTCATGACCGAAAGGACGAGATCATGGATACAAGTGCTCCACATGAGTTTCACATTCAAATGATTGAATATTTTATCAACAGGAAAGCGAAAAAGGGCATAAAGTCATCCATCGGCCGCCTGTTCGGAAAGAAGGAAAAGGGACGAATGGAACCATCAGTGGGAAGAGAAACACAACAGCTGTCTGCACTAACAGGTAGATACTGACGCACACTCATACACACACACACACACACACACATTAAGGCCCACTTTTATTCTTTGGCTTTTAACACTACATGAGTTGTGTGGTCCTCTGTGTTTTTTTTCTAATTATGGTATTTATGGTTTTAATCTGTTTTTTTTATTATTTTAAATGGTGGAGTTAAGTATAAGTTTATTTTATTTTGTGTACGTATATTATACTTTGGAAACGCGATTGTTGTTTAAAGGGGCTATATAAATAAACTGGATTGGATAGTATATACACAGACACAACACACACGCACAGAGACATGTACACACAGACACACACACTTACACACAAACACACACATACACAGATACATACATATAGAGTAGACACACACAATAACCATATGCACACAGATACGCTCACGCATGTACACACACACATACAGTACACACACAGATACACAGATACATACATATAGAGTAGACACACACAACAACCATATACACACAGATACGCTCACACATGTACACACACACATACACACACAGATACACAGATTCATACATATAGACACACACATACGCTCACACATGTACACACACACACACAGACACACACATACGCTCACACATGTACACACACACATACAGTACACACACAGATACACAGATTCATACATATAGACACACACAACAACCACATACACACACACACACATACGCTCACACATGTACACACACAGACACACACACACATACACACACAGATGCCATGTCACTTGTGTTCTTTGTGACCTGCTCTGTGGGATAGTCCATTACATTTCTTGATTTTCAGTTTAAACAAGTTGGCCTGAGAAGTCGTCCACATTGTCTATTTGTCCTGTTCATAATCTTTATTATTGAATAGTTTCATTTTATAAAGAGATTATTTCTGTTCTTTCCCCTCCCTCCGACTACAACTAATATTAAGAGCGCACAGTTGTGTTTTCAGATTTCGAGATGGGAGCTGGAGACACCATGACGCTGGGAAAACTGGGCACTCAGGCCGAGAGGGATCGCAGGATGAAGAAGAAGTATGAATCTCATTGACTTTTTAATCATATAATGGATGCGGTTTCGACTGTGTTTTATGTGTTTTATCAGACATGAGCTTCTAGAAGACGCCAGGAAAAAAGGGCTTCCATTCGCTCAGTGGGACGGTCCTACGGTCGTGTCCTGGCTCGAGGTCTGACTTGTCTATTTTACGTATTTATTTATAGATACAGAATATTCACGGCACTTTGGCTAAAGAATGGTTCATTAGAGGTTTGACGGGACCAGGAAGAGCATGCAAGATTTTGAAATGTGTCAATAATAACTTCTAGTATTAACAAAAAACTGCACAGACTGTCAATATGAATGCACTTATTTCCATTTTTCAAAAGCTCAAGTCGAAATTTAAAGCTCTAGTACGTAAAAACTAAATTGTACTGAAAATGTTGGACTAAAAGCGACTACTTGTTATTTGAACCAGCTGTGTCCATATTTCTTCCTGTATTAGCTGTTGATCTCCAGAGTTGATTGCTTAGCACACATTCCTGCTTTAATGTGTTTATGTGAACAGCAGAATAAATGGTGATGAAAATTAATGAGAAAAAAATCTGTTTTAGTAACTGTAGGACACACATTTATTGTCAAAATAGATGTATACCAGTGTGTTTATGTGAACAGCAGAGAGACACAAGGAAATGTTAGGGAAATACACAGGACTTTTTTGATTGTGATTATATCTGTTGTAAGAGCAGAGATTATGGACTTATTATTTTGGCTCCATCAAGTTCTAGTAGTGATAGGAAGTATGTTTATTGACAAAACAGACTATTAGATAGATAGATCACAGCTATTTCATCATCATTACTAGTCAACAGTGCGTTAAACCACCAGTTGTGACCAGTTAAAACTGTTGTCTAATTGTTTTGCTCCATCAGCTGTTGGTTAATTTACATTACAACATGAAAACTTAAACTCAAGCGTGGCCCATATGTGGTCTTAATGTACGTTCTTTTAAAGAAGCAAAATTTAAGATTTTCATGTCAAGTCATCATTAAATGGCCCTAATTTGTCAAAAGGCATTAATAATCCTGCTCTTTTCAAAAATTTTAACTGATAACAGTAGTTCAGCCGAGATAATCGAATTTCAAAATTAGTTTTACAGCCCCTAAATCTTGTTCTTGTTTTCATTTTGATGTCTCGCCCTCCACCGTTTTATCAATCAGAAAGTCCGTGATCCAAGTTGGTAGAATTCGTCGACCTAATCTCACTGTTAAAGTAATATGTGGCCACTGATATAAAATTGGGATTGTTGATTTTAGATTTGTGATTCTCAAATCAATAATGATAACAAAAAGGAATAAACCGTGTTGGTTTTAGATTTGTTGTTGATTGATTTTTATCTATACAGTTATTGGGGTCACAGCTGGATTCGTCTGCATATCTGGCAACCTAAGTCAGGGAGAGTGGGGGAGGTTGCTGTATCACTTTTGGCCAGATTTTTACTTACTGCTCCTTTAAGTTTCAGCTGGTGTGGATTATGCACAGGTGCACGCTTAATAGTCCAACAAGTACGTTAGGTGTCCCGAGTTTACATGCGCTGTGGACCAGGACCTCCACTCTCTCTCTGCTCCTCTGTAGAGATGTGATACTTGCTTCTTTATTATGCTAAAGTAAGAGATTTTATTTAATTTTAGTATTGAGTTATTGTTCCCTTATCTTGTGCTGTGTGCTCTTCATTCCTACTAGTCTGTAACTGGTGATGCAACACTGACATTTCCGCCCTGTGGTCTGCAGCTGTGGGTGGGGATGCCGGCCTGGTACGTGGCGGCCTGCCGAGCGAACGTGAAGAGCGGAGCCATCATGTCGGCGCTGTCGGACACGGAGATCCAGAGGGAGATCGGCATCAGCAACCCTCTGCACAGACTCAAGCTCCGACTGGCCATTCAGGAGATGGTGTCGCTGACCAGCCCCTCGGCCCCCCTCACCTCCCGAACGGTAACCTGGGCACATACACTGGACCACATGGGGCTAACAACATGGTCTCTCTCTGGTCTCTCTCTGGTCTCTCTCTGGTCTCTCTGGTCTCTCTCTGGTCACTCTCTCTGGTCTCTTTCTCTGGTCTCTTTCTGTTCTCTCTCTGGTCTTTCTCTGGTCACTCTCTCTGGTGTCTCTCTGGTCACTCTCTGGTCACTCTCTGGTCTCTTTCTGGTCACTCTCTGGTCTTTCTCTGGTTTCTCTCTGGTCTCTCTCTCTGGTCTCTCTCACTGGTCTCTCTCTGGTCTCTCTCTCTGGTCTCTCTCTGGTCTCTCTCTGATCTCTTTCTCTTCTCCCCCTCTGGTCTCTCTCTGGTCTCTCACTGGTCTCTCTCTCTGGTCACTCTCTCTTGTCTCTCTCTCTGGTCTCTCTATGGTCACTCTCTCCTCTCTGTCTCTGGTCTCTCTCTGGTCACTCTCTCTGATCTCTCTCTTGTGTCTCCCTCTGATCTCCCTCTGGTCTCTCTCTCTGGTCTCTCTCTGATCTATGTCTCTGGTCTCTCGCTGTTCTCTCTCTGGTCACTCTCTCTGGTCTCTCTCTGGTCTCTCTCTGGTCTCTCTGGTCTCTCTCTCTGGTCTCTCTCTGGTCTCTCTCTGGTCTCTGTCTCTCGTCTCTCTGATCCCTCTCTGATCCCTCTCTGGTCTCTCTCTTGTCTCTCTCTGGTCTCTCTCTGGTCTCTCTCTGGTCTTTCTGACTGGCAAGAGCTCTGGTGTGTGTCGTCTTCTCTGTCTGGTGCACACCGGGGTAGTCTTGCACAGTTTTTCCAATGTGGTTTTACTGCACATGGCAAATAAATGAATCTGAATCTGAATCTGAATCTTTCTCAGCCCCGTGTCCTCTGCAGCTGAACTTTACAGTATATGCACAGCTTGTGACAGCTGCAGCAGCACTCAGTCCTATAACGAACTGGTTTCTGTACAGTTCACGTGGTTAGAAAAGTGTATGTGTTTTACAGCCTTAAAACTTAGAGTTGTTACTGAGAGGATTTCACTTATTGCAGGTTATTTTTAAAGTGAAACCCTGCGATGAACCAGGGACCACTGCAAATACTCAAAAAGTTATTTTAGAAACACAGAAAGTCAATGATAAGGTTTTAGGCTAAAATTGAACTTTCTTTTACAGTAGCTCATGCTGTTGTAAATTATTAAATATGTGATATATGACATTGACCCACAGAGCTGGAAACACAATTGTGGCAAAACTCTATAATCAGTTACTTTACTTTATTCTCAACTTTGAATATGTTTCTTATTTGATGCACCTCACCTGTGATGTCGCACGTAAATTGGTGCCCTGTTCATTTGTGTGATCATGGAGATGGAGACCTGTTGTCTTAGACACTGTGGTAATAAACTATTATTGTAGCCACAGCTGCCCTGGGGCACACTGACCCTTCTACTAAAAACAGACATTCACACAACAAAACTAACCAGGCCCTGTCCTGCTTAGCCCCAGAGGTCTGACTGGCTTTCACATCAACAGTATGATCCAACATGGCGTGGTGTAATTGCAGACCGGTCATTTTTAAATAATGTATTGTAACTTTCCTGATATGTCTTTTCTAAACTATGACTGATTGGGGTTTATTCAAACATTTTACACATTTACAAAGAATAAAACTAAAATATTTCCTTCTGCAAAGAAAATGTTCAGACTGATTTTAAGTTTTATCGATCTTGAATCTCGTTCTTTCCACAAAGAAGTTAAGATGCTACAAACAAGTGCCATCAATCAACTTTAGTAAAACACAAAAACAAGTGCTGAAGTCACTCCCTTTTTTAAAGTAAAGTACAATCTTTTATGTGTACTTCAGTGGAAAGTCAAGAGCATTTTTCAATTGACATACATTATACAATACAATGCATTCAAATCACACCACACAAAAAAAACATTGAAAAACATTCACACTTGGATTTTGAACATTGTCAGAGAAGAAGCCTCTCTCACAATTTCAGGAAGACAGTTCCAGATTTTGACTGCATACATCAGAAACGCTGCCTCCCCAAGTTTAGTCCTGACCCTGGGCGCCAGCAGGAGGCCAGTCCCTGTGCTCCTCAGAGTTTGAGTTGGTTCTTCTGGCTCTAACATGTCATGAATGTGAATGTACTAAACACTCTTCCCTTTTTGACGACACACTTCAGCTATTGATTTAAATTATCATAGTTTTTATTTCATTTCCTTCTAATGACATGGCACCAACATGTGTGTGTGTGTAATGCACTGTGCTCGCATGCCCCGCCCCTCCTCACGGCTGCATTTTGGCACACTTGTGGGAGGCGCCTGTGTGAAACTGCTCTGTTTTGTTTTGCTCTTGCTGCGCACTGTTCCTTGTTGTTATCGCAGTCGTCCGGAAACGTGTGGATGACTCACGAGGAGATGGAAAACCTGGCCTCCAGCACCAAAGCGGTCAGTACCATATGTGACGCCTTCCCCCTATGAACAACACTGCCCCCTGCTGCCCACTCATGGCCCTGCACTGACCACAGACCTCACCACTCACGCTGTTTATTTATGTATTCATTCAATACTAAAGCAGGTAGATCTTTTGAGAACAAACATGATTTAGGATAGATTTGCTGTTTTATTACTAATGTGCAATGACTTTTTCTCAGCTCTGTATTTGACACGTTCTGGCCAGTTCTGGTTCTCCTGGTTTTGGGCAGTAGGTGTGCAGTGGTTCGACTAGAGAGAGACCAAAGAGAGATCAGAGAGACAGAGACCAGGGAGGGAGATATCAGAGAGAGAGACCGGAAAAAGAGACCAGAGATAGGCAAGAGAGAAAGACCAGAGAGAGAGACCAGAGAGAGACTAGAGAGAGGGACCAGAAATAGACAAGAGAGAGAGACCAGAGAGAGACCAGAGAGAGAGACCAGAGATAGACAAGAGAGAGAGACCAGAGAGAGACTAGAGAGAGGGACCAGAGAGAGACCAGAGATAGACAAGAGAGAGAGACCAGAGAGAGACTAGAGAGAGGGACCAGAGAGAAACCAGAGAGGGAGACCAGAGAGAGAGACCACTGAGAGAGACCAGAGAGAGACCAGAGATAGACAACAGGAGAGACCAGATGATAGAGAAACCAGAGAATGAGACCAGAGTGAGACCAGAGAAAGGCCAGAGACAGAGCAGCGAGAGAGACATATGAGCGTTCTGACCAATCAGAGTGCCGCTAATCAGAGGATAAAAGTGTGGATTTATAAAAACAAATTTGAAAACAAAAAATAGTTAAGAATAAGTGACACAAAAATCCCCAGAATCCTCCTTTGTGAAAGCTGTAGTTCCCTGTCAGCTGAGGATGAGGAGTTTTAGTGAAAACTGAGGTCTATAGAAAAATCTCCTTACAGCCTGTGTGGATTCAAGCTGCTGTACATGAGTAAATATGTTGTATTTTAGCGATAAAGTTCATTTTCATCCACATCATCCACCCATTTCCTCGGGTGAGTCCAGTCTCAACCTGAGGACTTGTGGAAATGGGTGCTGTGCTCGATGCTAAATATTCTTTTCAGGCAGCCCCTGGAAATACATTTTTAAGTTAGGAATGAATGGCTTCCAGCATTTTGCAGTGAAATAGACTAATTTCTGTGGTTTCTTTATTTGGTTTATAAATGTTTGTGTTATAACGTACTTCCTGAAAGCAGATTTCCTGATGTGTTTGTCAAATGATTTTCTTGAACACACAACAGCTTTTAGAGCATACACACGTGTGAAGGTGTTTGTGGATAACTGTGTTTTCTGTCACACGTTGCTGCTGCTCAGGACAACGAGGAGGGCAGCTGGGCTCAGGTACGTGCTGCTTTATTCATACTGTTTATTTTAACAGTGATGAAAATCTGAAATGCACTGAGACTGATGTGTTCTTGGACGTTGGTTCTGCTTTGAGGCTCTGGAAACATGTTCTTTTCAATATTGATATTTTTTCAATGCAATTCCATTTATTCATGTATAGACATAATTAAAAAAGCAGTTGTCTCGGAAGACTTTGCAAAAATGAAATAATGACAATCACATAGGAGTCAAGGGAGCAGACAGTGGGAAGGATCCAGGAGCAGACAGGCAGTAGACTCAGGACTGAGGCAGTAGACCCAGGACTGAGGCTGTAGACCCAGGACTGAGGCTGTAAACCCAGGACTGAGGCTGTAGACCCAGGGCTGAGGCTGTAGACCCAGGACTGAGGCTGTAGACCCAGGGCTGAGGCTGTAGACCCAGGGCTGAGGCTGTAGACCCAGGACTGAGGCTGTAGACCCAGGACTGAGGCTGTAGATCCAGGACTGAGGTTGTAGATCCAGGACTGAGGCTGTAGATCCAGGACTGAGGCTGTAGACCCAGGACTGAGGCTGTAGATCCAGGACTGAGGCTGTAGACCCAGGACTGAGGCTGTAGATCCAGGACTGAGGCTGTAGACCCAGGACTGAGGATGTAGACCCAGGACTGAGGCTGTAGATCCAGGACTGAGGCTGTAGATCCAGGACTGAGGCTGTAGACCCAGGACTGAGGCTGTAGACCCAGGACTGAAGAGGCACTGTTTCGAGGGGCCCATTGTCTGTTCACAGTTCTTTTTAGGTTCGGATTGATGCAAAAACACTAATTTAAAAACAATGTATTTTTACAATAAAAGAAAAGTGTCTTCCATCCTCCACTTTATCCGTTATCCGTCATCACTACATTTACATTTGGGTTATGGTCAGAGCTTGCAAAGTGGAGCTAAGGTGGACATTCAGACTGGAAAACAGACAGAACTAAACTCACTGCCCTTGAAGTCCTCCCGCTGCTGCTTCACGTCAACAACAATCTGTCAATCCCTCTCAGCTTGTAGACACCAAGAACTGACCTGTATCAAGCTTGATATGGCGAGGAAGCTTCATTTAAGCAGCAGCTTTCAATCCTGCAGCAACCCTCTTCCTCCCAATCTTTCAGCCTTGTTCCGGGCCAGCTCATTCACCCTTCTCTTAGCTCCCACCACCAGGGTCTAGGCCCTTCTGCATCATCATGCTGTGCTCTGCCGGGGTCTGACGTCAAATCTTAACCACATTTCTCAGCATGCAATAAATGTGATCTTGCAAATATTACTGCGTCAGTTAATTGCCAACCAATATACAATTCTAATAACCCCCCTGTTTTGTCTTTTCGAGTCTCTCCAGATTTAAATGATATGATAGAAACATTAACATCACATTTTTGCCATAATCATGACCCATTTTTTTATTGTATTTGACGTATGTTCCATTTGCAGACGTTGGCGTACGGCGACATGAACCACGAGTGGATCGGTAACGAGTGGCTGCCGAGTCTGGGGCTGCCGCAGTACCGCTCCTACTTCATGGAGTGTTTAGTCGACGCAAGAATGTTGGACCATCTGACCAAGAAAGACTTGCGCAGCCACCTCAAGATGGTGGACAGCTTTCACAGGTCAGACCTCAGCACAGGCTTTAGGTGAACGACCAGAGGCTGTATTCAGATGGACGATGATTCATAGACTGTTCCTTTATTATCCTCCAACTCACTATGGCTTTCTATTGACTTACATTGAAAACTCCTCTGGCTCAGTAACTGTTTGTGCCATACTCACTATTTTAGGCTTTAAAAAGCCTAACCCACTCTCCATAAATGTGCATTGATATCCTAAAAAACATTGGGGAAAGATTGTGGAAGGGGAGGCCCATAATTAGAGCGGGATCCGCTCACAAGAAAAGACGGGCTGTAGATCCAGGACTGAGGTTGTAGATCCAGGACTGAGGTTGTAGATCCAGGACTGAGGTTGTAGATCCAGGACTGAGGCTGTAGATCCAGGACTGAGGCTATAGATCCAGGACTGAGGCTGTAGATCCAGGACTGAGGCTGTAGATCCAGGACTGAGGTTGTAGATCCAGGACTGAGGTTGTAGATCCAGGACTGAGGCTGTAGATCCAGGACGGAGGCTGTAGATCCAGGACTGAGGCTGTAGATCCAGGACTGAGGCTGTAGATCCAGGACTGAGGTTGTAGATCCAGGACTGAGGCTGTAGATCCAGGACTGAGGCTGTAGATCCAGGACTGAGGCTGTAGATCCAGGACTGAGGCTGTAGATCCAGGACTGAGGTTGTAGATCCAGGACTGAGGCTGTAGATCTGGGGCTTAAAGATTACCCACTAACTAAATCGACAAAAATCAAGAAAATGTAAAACCTAATTTTACTAACTTTTAACTTTAGTTTTACAACACAATAATTAAACTTCTATTGTCCTCATGTACAGAGCAAGTCTGCAGTATGGAATCATGTGCCTGAAGAGACTGAATTACGATCGCAAAGATCTGGACCGAAGACGAGAAGACGGCCACCACAACATGAAGGGTAAAGCCTGACACTGAGCTCATGGTGAAGACTCACTCACTGGACTAAAAGAAACACATTTTTTCCAGTTGTCTGAACTCTGCGGACTTTTGACTTTGGACTTTAGGTTTAGTAGCTCGAGAACTGTTTATTGTCAAAGTAGACTTTTTCTGTATCTTTATGTAGTTTAGTTCTATGTCATTTTAAAAAAAATGAAATTATGTTTTGCCATTCTTCCTTGCACTTATTTTCCATTCGAGAATATCAAGTGCTAGTTACTGTCGCAACACATTGTTTACTGTCAGAATCATAGACTAAATATTAACAAATGTAGTCATGCCTATCTCGGCCGATCTAACTAATATGCCACAACTTCCGCGGTCTATGAGCAGTTTCAAAATGGCCACGGGGGCTGGAAAATGTGAAAAAACGCATCTGCGTCCTGGCCATGGGTGTCTGTACACACAACTGCTGTACGCAATGGCTTTTCTTATTGTCCCGTTTCCACCAGCCCCTATAGGTCTTACTCTACACACTACTCTACCCTATCCTACCCTACCCTACTCTACTCTGCTCTACCCTACCTTACTCTACTCTACTGTCTACTACTCTGCTCTACTTCACTCTACTCTTCTCTGCTCTACCCTACCTTACTCTACTCTACTGTCTACTACTCTGCTCTACTTCACTCTACTCTTCTCTGCTCTACCCTACCTTACTCTACTCTACTCTTGTCTACTCAACTCGGCTCTACTCAACCAGACTGACTTGGTACTATAGTGTTCTAACTGACAGGGATTGGTCAGAGTGCTGCTAGAAGCAATGATTACCTGGGAATTTCCTCAGATTCTGGTTTGTTGCTAGGATACGGTACCTGATACAAAGCGTGATGGAAACAAAACCAGGTAGAGTAGAGCCAAGTAGACCTAAGGAGAGTAAAGTAGAACTGAGCGGAGTAGAGTAGAGTAGATCTGAGTAAAGCAGAGTAGATTGGAGCTGTGTAGAGTAGTGTAGTGTAGGGAAGGGTAGAGTAGAGTAGAGAAGAGTAGCTGAGCAAAGTGGAGTAGAGTAGAATAGAGTAGAGCTGACTAGACTAGGGCCAAATGGTAGCTTCCCACCCCAATGATTCCTGCTGAAAGTGAATGTAAAGATATTTTTCCTTATTTGCTCCACCTCCTCCTGTTCGACCACTGCGTCAATTAGCCTTAAGCTCGCGGACAGCTGCGGTCGGAGCGGCCACTGCGCCAAATGAAAAAAGGCCTAAAATTGTATGATGGTAAGCCGCGCATACCAAGGCCGCGCACACACGCCTCCATTGAGCGGATTGCCCTGATGACCCTGAGTTTGAAGCCGCTTTGGCCGTCGCCTTCAGCTGTCCCGGACCATCACAGACCCCCACGCCCCTCTGTGCCAAAGACCCCAGCAGCTGCGCTTTAAATGGACAAAGGAGTGTGCCATAAGTCTGACACGATATGGATATAATCTCTTTATCTGGTGCAGGGCTTCTCAAAACGAGGTGCGCGGCCGGTTAGTGGGCGAAGGGATCTGTGGTTGTTGCTCAGTGAAGGATGTGTACGCAAGTTTTACAGTCTGTTTTTGTGTCATTCGAAAAAGCCTTTTCTCCGATATACAGAAGGTGAGAGTAGAGCCGAGTAGGGAGGAGTAGAGCAGATGGACAAGAAGTATTCCATGAGTCTGACAATATTATTTATCTTTTTATATTTGCTTAGATTTTATGAATGAATGTGAATGTCTCCTTTAAAGCGTGAAATAAAGGCAAGGCGAGTTTAGTTGTATAGCACAATTCATACACAAGGCAACTCAAAGTGCTGAACAAAATTAGATTAAAATTAAAAGAGCATTAAAATCAAAAATAGTCACAGTACATTAAAAAGAAAGATAAAAATATAAAATCCCTCAGTTGTAGCACAGCTAAACAGAACTGTTTTTAACCTGGTTTTAAAAATTGTCAGAGAGGAGGCCTGTCTCACACTTTCAGGAAATTGATCCAGATTTTAGCAGCATGAATCTGAAAAGCAGCCTCCCCATGTTTAGTTCTGACTCTGGGCACTAACAGGAGTCCAGTCCCTGTGCTCCTCAGAGTCCCAGCAGGAGTCCAGTCCCTGTGCTCCTCAGAGTCCGGGCTGGTTCATATGGGACTAATATGTCACTGATATGGCCATGGAGAGCTTTGTACACAAGCAGAGCTGTTTTAAAGTCATAAAACCCATGTATTTTAAGAAAATCAGTTCTCAAAGAAAATTTACATACGCACAACAACAAAAATGCGTGTGGACTTGTTCTTTGGATTGAGTCGTTTGCTATTGATAAAGATTCATAAATTGATGATTGTATAATGTGTCATAGATTATCAGAAGCAAATCTAACAAACTTATGATAGTGTGTTTGGTGTGATGTTGTTGAGTGTTAAAAAAGCAGCCAATCAAACGGTTGTCTGTACAAAAAAACAAGAGAATATGTGTTTGCGCAGACGTGCTGGTGTGGACCAACGAGCAGGTGATCCACTGGGTGCAGTCCATCGGTCTGAGGGAGTACAGCGGGAACCTTCTGGAGAGCGGCGTCCACGGAGCTCTGCTTGCCGTGGACGAGACGTTTGACTACAGCGGCCTGGCCCTCATCCTGCAGATCCCCATGCAGAACACACAGGTCCAACAATACTCATACTCATACTCATACTCTATATACTAGTACTGCTAGTATAGTAGAACTGCTCCTGCCACTACCACTGCAATTACTACTAATACTACTGCTGCTTCTACTACTACTACTGCTACCACTATTACTACTACTGCTGCTGCAACTACTACTGCTGCTGCTACAACTACTACTACTACTAGTACTACTACTACTGCTTCTCCTCTGTTGTTGACAAATGCAATCAAAATTACCCAAAATGTACACCCTTTTTTTATCTTTAGGCACGTCAGGTTTTGGAAAGAGAATTTAACAACTTGCTGGCCTTGGGTACAGACCGCCGACTTGAGGAGGTAACTGCACAGAAGTACTATTAGAGTATCAGATGAGAAGTGGGTAATCTATGGCCACTGTGGGACTCGGTCATTCTCAATTCATTCATTTTGTTCCACTTTATCTGTTGTGGAGGGAGCAGTCCGATCATCAGCTCATCCAGGGGAATCCTGAGGCATTCTCAGTCCATCAGAGAGACATATAGTTCCTCCTGGGTCTTTCCCGGGGCCTCCTCCCAGTGGGACAGGCCTGGGAGGCATTTGAAACAGAAGCCAGAGCCACTTTAGCTGGCTCCTCTCATTGTGGAGGAGCAGTGGTTCTACTCGGAGCTCCTCCCTTACGACTGAGCTCCTTGCCCAGTTCTTGGGTCTGGATCTCGACTCAGCGGCACGGTGGCTGAGTGGGTAGCACTCTCGCCTCTCAGCAAGAAGGTCCTGGGTTCGAATCCCGGTCGGACCAGGGCCTTTCTGAGTGGAGTTTGCATGTTCTCTCCGTGTCTGCGTAGGTTTCCTCCGGGTACTCCGGTTTCCCCTACCACTAAAAATATGTCCAATAGACATGTCTGGCAGGCGCCTCCTACTGGCGACCCTGCTCCCATCTCTGTGTGGAGTGAGAGACAAATGCCCATAATTAACAATTGTAAACCGCTTTGAGACTCAGGTCTGCAGTGAAAAGGCGGTATATAAATAAAGATTACTACTACTACTTGCATAAATCAGGCCAGTAAAGTGAGAGTCCTGAGTGATCCGAGTTCACACAGTTCAAACTCCTGTGTGAACTCGGAACACTCAGGACCCTTACAAAGTACCTTAAATCTGCAACCTTCATTCCAAATGCTAGTTAGTCATTGGGACAGTCACCAGTCAACAAACAATTTCTGTCACCTAAAGGGTGACAGAATCCATCTATCTATCCATCTATTTTTCTGTTCAATTCAATGTAATTTTGTATAGCCCTAAATCACAAGAGTAGTTATCTTGCATGACTTTACAAATCTGTCGATTCGCCAACACAGATCAGAGAATCAACCAGTTCAAACACAAGAAATGCAATGATAAATAACACATAAAGCCATTGGTCCATAAGGGGCGGATGACCTATGTCCATGATTTTGTTTAAGTCAATAAATGTTGTTGAATGTCGAGTGTCCTGGATCATCACCACGGTCCTTGGGTCTACCTATCTATGTATCATCAGATTTTATTACAAACATGTAGTCCAGAAAAAGACAAATATATTGCACACAATAGGCCTCACTCCTCAGGAAACAGCTGACCCAATGTCTCCACAGTTCAGACTGGTACCTATCCATCTCTGTGTCTGTCTGTCTGTCTGTCTATCTATCTATGTCTCGACTCTTTCTGCAATCTTGTCCTTTTGATCATTACCCAAAGTTCATAATCATGGGTTTTCATATCATTCTGTCTATCTATGTAACTATTGAGCTGAGTTGAGTATTGGTTTTGCTGTCCTGCCTCCATTCCATTTTTATCCGACCAAAATCCCGAACTAATCCACCAATAACACCTCTGTCCATCTTCACATTGCCGTCTCTCTCGTGTGTCTCCGCAGTCGGGAGATGACAAGTCGTTTCGGCGCTCCCCGTCGTGGCGTAAGCGATTCCGGGCCCGTGAGGGGGGGTCTGGGATGAGCATGATGGCCGGGTCCATGGAGACTCTCCCCGCTGGGTTCAGAATGCCCTCAATGTCAATGCCTCCAAATGTGAACTTGCATATGCACAAGAAACAGCTGCAGCCTGAAGGTAAGAAAACACAGCCACAGTGCAAGAGTTAAAGGGGACGTACTATGGCTTTGTCTGGGGTCGAACCACTGGTAAATGTACAGTACTTGCTGGACTATTAAGCACATTTTAAAAGAAAGTATTTTTTGTCCACATATAGGCCACAACTGAATATAAGCCGCAGGGTGTCATTTGTAATGTGACACTTAACAAATGAACTGCCAGAATTCTGAAACTACTAGAACTCCCAGAGGCCTCATTTTGACTGCTCCCATTCAAACCAATGGAATAGCGAGAAATTGAAAGTTGTTGCTAAATTTGTAGGGTTTTTTTTTCAGTTTAATTAAAAGTACCAATAAGAATCAGAAAACTGGCTCGAAATTCAGCAAAAACAGTTTGTTGAAATGCTAATGCTAAAGACCAAATGCTAACCGCAGACAGTAAACAGTGTGTTGCTATAGTAACCAGCACTGGCTCTTCTCTGGTGAAAAACCCGAGCTGAACCTGAACCAGTCCAAAACCAGCACCTTGTTATAGACATAAAAAACTCCTCACTGTGGGACGGTTCTCTCTTCTTATCTTGAAAAAATGTCTTTAGCTGCCATGGGGAAAAAGGAACCGAAACATTTGAATTTTAGTTAAAGATAGATGTATATAATTAATAAACTCTATATATTGAGTTATTTTGATATTTATTTGCTGCTCTTAGGTGGTGAGTCCTAGATACAGGTGCACCTCATAGTCCAGAAAGTACGGTAATAAGATATAGTAAAAAATATATAAATACAAACGGAGGGGACTCTCTAACAAAATAAAAATACATACATTGGCCGCATCTCTGTAAACAGTAGGCCCCAAAGTTAAAATAACATTATAGTCCAGCTAGTCCTGTATATAGTAGTTCGACACCAGAATTTCTCCCATAGACTCTCCTGTTCCTATTCTTAATCTCATACAGACTTGTCGACCTCGTTCTAACCAAAGCTGCATGTTTGCGTTTGTGTTTGAACCTAATCTCTTGCACGGTGTGTGTCACTTCCTCTCTAAGCCCCGCCTCCAGCTCTTCCGAGACTCGACCCCTCGGCGGTGAGGACCTACTCGTGTTAACTCTGCTAACTAACAGGAGCGCTAACGTTAACAGGTAAGCTAACAAAAAGAATGACGGATAAATTATGATTTGATCGAATTTGTCGTGTGGTGAAATTAAGAAAGGACCCAAAATGATGATTCAATGAACATATAAAAAATAAAACCTAAGGTAAAAAATACACTCAAAATCCGAACGGAACCAGGAACATATGCCGCTTTTCCATAGTCTCGGCACGGCACGGTACGGCACGACGCGGCTGAGTGGGGGTGCTTTTCTATGAATAATGCTGCCTCCAAGTATCTCCTCAGCGTGGGAGGGTTTGTCAGACCACGTAATTTACACACGGCACGTAACTAGTAACATTGGTCACTTTTTGTCGTTTGGTTTTATTTCGAGTTCAATACATAACTTATTTATTTAAAATACATGTATTTTGTAAATCTAAGTATCAACTCGAAAAAGGAGTGAGAAGAAGTAAAAAAGTTTTACATGATCAAACATTTGCTTAAACATTTATTTGGCCCGTGTGTTTTGATCAAAAATAAAACCTTTTTGTATTTAGCAAATATGTCTCCATCCTCGTTTACAAATATACCACGGTTATATAGATTTACTGACAAATATAATGTATTTAATGTAAGAAGTAAAAGTATGTGGTAGGAAATCGTAACTTTTGAAGCCCTTCTCTGCACGTGTACAGACAAATGAATGAAACAAAGTACCGATACAATCACAGATTTATTAGAAACAAAAGTAAAGTGCAAAAACAGTTTACAAAGTCCAAAGTACGTATGTCTGAGACCAGGTCCAGAGGAGGAGAATGTTTAGTTCTCCGGTCACTCATTGCTCGTTGCTAATCTCCACACTTGTGGGAAGGGATTCTCAAACAAAAAAATATACACATGACAAAAGGACATGAAGCAAAACCAAACTAAAACCACAGAGAAATTAAGTCTAAATAAGACTAGATTAAAATAACAAATAATCCACTCCATGACAGAATTGTTTTGTTTTTTTCTGGATTTAAAGGGTTAAGTCCAAACAAGCTTCTCCTTTCTCCCTTTGTGCGCTCATATAAAAAAGGTTTTAAAAATGCATGTACTTCTTGCATTTGGTCTTCTATTTGTCTCCTGCGTTAAAGAATTATACTTCAGTGTTTCAGCTGCTGCCAATACAACTCCATACAACACGCATTTTGTTCGCAGAATTTATAAAAAGAACCACTTTTCGACCTTTCTGAGTGAACAATGAGAACATGGGAGAGATGTGGAGCCTGTGTTTTTCATGTGGATTGTTCCAGGGATTACACAGAAATTAGCTCTAAACTGAGACTGGAAGGCTTTTGACAGTTACCATAGTTACCAGGACAGATTTATTCAGCTGCCCTCCACCCCAATGTTAAACTACAGGCTCTTTGGAATGTTGTGATGTCACATGAACGCAAACTGTTAAAGAATGTACACGTTTCGTACTGAGGTCAAGTCCAAGCCAAAACCACCAGGAAAGTAAAGCAATGCACTTTTGATGTAATATGATATAAACTCTCTCTTTCACTCCTCCCTCCTCTCCCCTCTCGTCTCCCTCCTCCTCTCTTCTCTTCTTCTATCTGTCCTCGCTCTCTTCTCTCTCCTCTCCTTTCTCCTCTAAATCTTCTCACCTCTCTCGTCTTCCTGTCTTTCCTCAAACGCCCCTCTCTCCCCTCCCTTGTCTCTCCTCTCACTCCTCTCCCGAAATCCTCCTTCCCCTCTCACTTCTGTTCTCTCCTCTCCTCTCCTCTCTCCTCCCTCTGCCCTTCTTCACCTTCCTCCCCTCATCTCTCTCTTCTCTACCTCTACTCCTCTCCCTCTCCTCTTCTCTCCTCTCCCTTCTCTCCTCTCACCCTCTTCCTTCCTCTCTCCTCTCACTCTCTCTCCTCTCTCACCCTCACTCTCTCTCCCTCTCCTCTCCCTCTCTCTCTCTCTCTCTCTTCCCTCTCTCCTCCTCCTATCTCCTCTCTCCCCTCTCTCGCTCTCCTCTCCTCTCTCCCCTCATCTCTCCTCCTCTCCTCTCCCCTCTCCTCTCTCCTTCCTCTCCCCCTCTTCTTCTCCTCTCTCTCTCTTCTCTCTCTCTCTCTCACCTCACTCTCCTCTCTCTCCCCCTCCTCCTCCTCTCTCTCCTCACTCCTCTACCCTCTCTCCTCCCTCTCCCTTCTCTCTCTCTCTCCTCTCCCTCTCTCTCCTCTCCTCATCTCTCCTCCTCCTCTCCCCTGTCACTCTCCTCTCCTCCCCCTCTCTCCTCTTCTCTTCCTCTCCCCTCTCTCCTCCCCCCTCCTCTCCTCTCCTTCCTCTCTCTCTCCCCTCTCCTCCCTCTCCTCCTCTCCTCTCCTCTCTCCTCTCCTCTCCCCTCTCTCTCCTCTCCTCTCTCTCTCTCCCTCCCTCTCCCTGTCTCTCCTCCCCCTCCTCCCTCTCTCCTCTCTCCTCTCTCCCTGTCTCTCTCCCCTCCCCTCTCTCCTCCTCTTCTCCTCTCCTCTCTCCTCTCCCCTGTCTCTCCTCTCCCCTCCTCCCCTCTCCTCTCCTCTCTCCTCACTCCTCTCCCCTGTCTCTCCTCCCCCTCCTCCCCTCTCCTCTCCTCTCTCCTCACTCCTCTCCCCTGTCTCCTCTCCTTCCCCTCCTCCCCCCTCTCCTCTCTTCTCCTCTCCCCTCCCCTCTCACTCTTCTCTCTCTCTCCTCTCCCCTGTCTCTCCTCCCCCTCCCCCTCTCTCCTCTCTTCTCCTCTCCCCTCTCCTCTCCTCTCTCCTCCCTCCCCCTCTCCCCTGTCTCTCCTCTCCCCTCCCCCTCGCTCCTCTCCCTCTCTCCTCTCCCCTGTCTCTCCTCTCCCCTCCCCCCCTCTCCTCTCTCTCTCCTCTCCCCTCCCCTCTCCCTCTTCTCCTCTCTCCTCTCCCCTGTCTCTCCTCCCCCTCCCCCTCTCTCCTCTCTTCTCCTCTCCTCTCTCCTCCCCCTTCCCCCCTCTCCTCTCTTCTCTTCTCTCTCCCTCTCCCTTTCTCCCCTCTCACTCTCCTCCTCTCTCCTCTCCCCCTGTCTCTCCTCCCCCTCCCCCCTCTCTCTCTCTCTTCTCCTCTCCTCTCTCCTCTCCCCTGTCTCTCCTTCCCCTCCCCCCTCTCCTCTCTTCTCCTCTCCCCTCCCCTCTCACTCTTCTCCTCTCTCCTCTCCCCTGTCTCTCCTCCCCCTCCCCCTCTCTCCTCTCTTCTCCTCTCCCCTCTCCTCTCCTCTCTCCTCACTCCTCTCCCCTGTCTCTCCTCCCCCTCCCCCTCGCTCCTCTCTTCTCCTCTCCTCTCTCCTCTCCCCTGTCTCTCCTTCCCCTCCCCCCCCTCTCCTCTCTTCTCCTCTCCCCTCCCCTCTCCCTCTTCTCCTCTCTCCTCTCCCCTGTCTCTCCTCCCCCTCCCCCTCTCTCCTCTCTTCTCCTCTCCTCTCTCCTCCCCCTCCCCTCCTCTCCTCTCTTCTCTTCTCTCTCCCTTGTCTCCCCTCTCACTCTCCTCCTCTCTCCTCTCCCCTGTCTCTCCTCCCCCTCCCCCTCTCTCCTCCACAGTGCATCGTCACTACCTGTACGGACACATGCTTGCGGCCTTCTGAGAGTGACATGCCAAATCAGAGGTTTTTGGGGACCGCCCTCGCCCCCCTGTCCTCTCTGGACTGTGCAATACCGCGGCTTTGAACCCGTTTGAGAGACGCTCGTGTGACCCCAGTGTTGTGGTGTTGTGACTATGTTCCAAATCCTCTCTCAGCCGTGGGTTCAACTCAAAAGTCTTACCGATGTTTCCTAAAAGCTCCAACGATGCATTTTCAGACAAATCAATGTTATCCGCTGCTCAAGGCCTTTTCCATCGATAATCAGACCGTTGATTTAAAATGCCCCGTTTCCACCAGCCCTATCCTCGGCTCTACTGCTGCTAAAAATTCAACTACTACCTGGTTGCTTTTCCATGACTCTTTAGTATCTGGTACTGTATCCTAGCGACCTACACACAACAAATCAGTATGCGGGGAAATGACTTGGTAACCTTGGCTTCCAGCAGAACTCTGAGCAATCTCTGTTAGTTAGAACACTTTAGTACAAGCAAGGCCAAGCTGGTCCTAAAAGGTGCCTGGTACCGGCCAAACAGGACCAATGGAAACACTCCCAATCAGGGGAGAGTAATGTATAGCACAGTAGAGTATAGTAAAGTAGGGCCAAGGCAGGCTGGTGGAAACAGGGCAATAGATTGATATATATGACATGATATTTTGAATTTTGACTTTAATTGATGGAATAATACTGGTTGTCGTTGTGAATTACATAGTTTGGCAACAATCAGGAAGAAGGAAAAGATACAGGAAGTTCTTTGATAGTGAAATGCAATTTACACATACATTTATGAGACATAATCTCATAATCATGTAAAATCTAATAGTTTAAGACACCTCAGCTAACATGGAGAAATATCTAGAGCTTTTGATTTTTTTTTGACTATAATTGAAAAGAAAAATAAGGCAGATCTTTTCACATATAGAAGTAGTTTAGTGGCTGACACAAGAAGTACAAAGAGAGAAGTTTGTCACGAAAATCAAATAAATCTGTCGATGTCTCAGGACTGAGCCTTCGCAGGAGATAACAAACTGAAGAGGGATCCTGGCGTTTTTGGAAACAAAAGGCACATCGTATTTCTGTCCCTCCTCAAAGACTCATATCAGACGTGGATCAGGCCACGAACGAGCAGAAGCCAATGGGGATTAGGTCGATGACGCCGATGTCGAACACGTTACACACGTTAGCATTGCAAAAAGAATAAAATAATCATTACCAGTGCACAAGAAGGCACCATAAGTCTAAAGTTATTAAAGTTAAACCTGAATTTCTTCTACGGGGGATCAATAAAGTATCTATCTACAGTATCTAAAGCTAAAAACATCACTATTTTACTAATGTCTGTTAAAGAAGAACCAAATAACTTAATTATTAATAAGAAAAGATGCACCTTCCTACACCATTCGACCTAAATCCA